TTCCTCCCAAATTTTAAGTGAATGATTTAACAGATTTTGACAAATGGATATATCCGTGCAACCCAAATCTCTATTTAGACAAAGATTATTACCATCACCCCAGAACTCCCTCATGCCGGTTGCAGTCAATCTCCATTCCACTCACTCTGTACCTTTGAAAATATTTAGATAGACTTTTTAAAAAAGATTTATTTATTTATGGATACAAGAACTAGGGTACAGGCAGAGGTGCAGGGACTGAGAGGATTCACCAGAGACAGAGCGGGGAACAGAACAGGCAGACTGACGAAATACACTGCTGAGGGGAGCAGCGGGTGAGACAGGAGAGGTCTGCTGCGCCATGTGGGACACCTCCCCTGGCCTGGGATTGGGGATCAAACTTGTGCTGCAGTGGCTGGCAATAGCTTGATAGCTCCCTGTGCCACCAGGGAGACCCCTAGATAGACTTTTAATTTTGGAATATTTTAAAATTTCAGAAGGATTACAAAGATCATATCTCCACACTTCGTTTCCCCATTGTCAACATCTCACATCACTCTGGTATATTTGCCACAACAAATGAACCCGTATTTATTGATACAGTATTATTAACCAAAGCACACACTTCATTCAGAGTTCACTGCTTTTTTCTAATGTTCCTTTTCAGTTCCAGGGTGCTCTTTAGGATACCACATAATATGCAGTCATTATCTCTCTTTAAATCTTTTTTTTTTTAATCACCTCTCTTGGCTTCTCTGCACCATAACAATTTCTCCCCTTTCCCTGCTCTTTGAAGAGCTTGATGGCTTTGAGGAGTACTAGTCAGGAACTATTCAGAATGTCAGGCAGTCAGAATGTCCCTCAGTTTAAACTTGTCTGATGCATTTCCCATGGTTAGACTGTGGTTCTGTAACATTTCCACAAATATAAAACCATGTTTAAATTTGCCATCAGATGTAACACAGATCTATATTTTAAAGGCATGTTGGTGGGTGGTGATGAGGAGGAGTGAAGTGGCTGATGATAAGTAAAAAGAAGCATGTCTGCTCTGAGCAACCTGGAGAAAATAAATGAGAATGTGGAGTTAGGGTTGCCCAGAGTGGTCCAGTCTGACCTTATGGGGACACATCCTTGCATGGCTGTAACCTGCCTGAGAAGATGCTGAAGTGGGGTAGGGGGAAGGGAGAGAGAGTCTCCAAAGGGGACTGAGATGTTTCCATAGCACGTCTCCTAAATCAAGAAGCTTTTCTAATCTTGAAGGATTGACTATTCAGCACCACATCAAGTGAGAATTCCTCACTACCTTCTGCACAGATAGAGACTTGAAGCTGGACAGTGAAACCAGTTGTGGGAATGCCCAGGCATGAGCACAGCCTCAGTCCTGGGTCTATTTTGGGAACATTTGGACATATTCTGCAGCATCATATTTATACTTTGGCAAAACAAGTGAAAGTTCAAAGAAATAATCCTGGCTTCCTTCTTACACCCCACATGTTCATCTCTAGAATGCATATTCTGAACAGGGATGGGGAGCAAAGGATGGCTGGTTGACCATCGAACACTTGGCCATCTGTGGGGGTCGACCTGGATTTGAAAGAGCAAGTGCCCATTAGGCGGGGTTAATGGGGGCAGAGAGGGATCAAGTCAGTGAAATGTGAGAGAATCAATATGTGGAATGCTTGACGATAGCACATTCACACATTTCACGGAGGAAGGAGGCTAGGGTTACACCCAGCAACTGCAGATGCTTGATTAAAAAAACCAACCTTAAGCATTTGCTATTTGCTGGCTGCCTCTGGCACCCCCAAAGCTCTCACAATTCTCCTTTCTTGGTTCTTTCCGAGGGTCTGTGTATGCCTTAAGACTGCCCCCCCCCAATTCTTCCACTCCCTCAGTTCCACAGGGACTTGGAAGAGAGGAAGGGGTGTGTGTGTGTGTGTGCGCGCGCGCGTGCGTGTGTGTGCGTGCGTGCGTGCGTGCGTGCGTGTGAGAGAGAGAGAGAGAGACTCTTCCAAGTTAAGATGTGTCCCAAGGGAATGTGTGTGGGGGGCCCGGAGCAGACTGGTGGAAAATAAGCAAACAGCTGGAGACACTCCAAGGCAAGATAGAATTTTAGATCCGGCACTGGTGGAGGCAGGAAGAAGAGATGAGGGGTGGTTGGAGATGGTGGAAAGAGATGGAATCCAGGACCGTCTGTGGCTATTAAAGCCCAGCACCTGGTCCAGGGCTCTGAACACAAATGACACATTAATTAATGTTCTAATAATAATCAAGATTTATTGAGCACTGAACATTTCCCAGCCACTATGCTTCATATATATGTGATCATTTTTAATCTCTTCTTTTTTCTTTCTTTCTCTTTCAATACCCCATGGGAGAGCTAATAGTCTTCTCCCACTTTACAAATAACACACTGATTCCCAGGGAGGTCAAGTGACTTGCTCGAGGTCATAATGAGCTAGTGAGGAGTTAGTTGAATCCAGGGCCTGCACTCTCAAACTTTCCCTGATGGGAAAGGTCTCCACGTGGATGGTCAGGGTTGGCAGGCTGCGGAGCTCCTAGCTAATGTCTTCAGTTCCATGCTCTTGTTTCTCGGTGTCAATGTGCCCCTCTGCCCAATAATCTTCTCATCCCTGGACTCCAGGGCCGGTGCCTCCCAGGGCATACAAAGAGGAGTCTTCCACAGATTCACCTCACCCACTCAAGGGCTCTCTTTTGCAGGGCAGGGCGCACTGGGAGGCGTGATGGGAATAGCCAACCAGCATCTGTCCAGCTCCTGTCCTCTGAGACCATCTGCTCTTCCTCACCTCTTCCTTCAAATCCTCACCCTCTTGTAACAAGAGGTACTTGCTGCATGTGAGCTTAACGGCTCCAGGGCGGGTGGCGCTTGCCCCTGCGGATGTGGTGCAGCCGCAGCTCCCCCAGGGGCGTCTCCAGCGAGCCAGCCCCCAGGCAACCGCTGGTGAACTCCGCCTGCCTGTCTTTTCTGCTCTGTTTTCCTGCAGCAGCCGCTCCCACCTGTGTGTATTCCCAGGCATGCTCTCTTTGGAAAATGACTAGTGAGCTCCTGCTTCCTTCCCCATGACGGGAGCGCCCGCCAGTCGAGGCCTGTGCAGGCAGCTGGCCACAGATGCGCGGGATTAGCCACGCCCGGGCTGCGGCTGACCTCCAGCGCCGGTTCTCTGAGCCTGGTAACTCCATCCTCCTCTACCACGCCTTTCCCTACTTCTTGCGTGCTTCCTTCCTTCCTTCTTCTCTTGTGTTTTGCTTTCTTGCTGTCTTTTTCTTTCTCTCCTTCCTGGATTTCTTTTTGCTAAGTACTTTTTAAAAAGAGTACATGACCCTTAGCCTTCAATTCAAAGATAATATTCGGAACAAAGCTTCCCCTTCCCGTGCAATCTCTAGAGTACAACCAGTGCTCATAGTTTGTATGTCCTTCCACACTTTCCTCCGTGAGTATCCGAACACGCACACACACAACTTAGAAACGGTTTTGATATAGGCACAAACACATCATGGAAAACTCTTCTGGTTAATAGGTATAACTCACGCTCTACAGCACCATTCCAGTGTATGGCTGCCCTGTAACTTACTTGGCCATTGTACTTTTTAAAAAAAGATTTATTTTATGCACACAAGAACTGGGGTACAAGCCAGAGGTGCAGGGGGTGAGAGGATTCACCAGAGAAAGAGTGGGGAACAGAACAGGCAGATCCACTGAAATACACTGCTGAGGGGAGCAGCAGGCGAGTCAGGAGAGGTCTGCTGTGCCATGTGTGTAGCTCCCTGGCCGAGGATCGAACTTGTGCTGCAGTGGCCGCAGATAGCTTCATAGGGTGCATCTTAACCCCTTGCGTCACCAGGGAGGCACAACCATTATACTTTTAATGGACCTTCAGGCTGCTTTCCATGATTTCTTTTGCCACTGCCCACCATAGTGACCATCCTTGGGCATAAGTCCCTGCTCATTTGTGAAAATAACATACAAGGATACATTTTTTGGAAAAGGTATTACCAGACCAAAGGTTTGACATTTAAAAATAGAGGTGGTTTTCCTCCTGAGTTTGTTTTTCAAAGGTATTATTATTAGCCATGCCTACCAAGTTATGTAAAATACTTCTATTACCCTTTGGTACAATTATCATAATGTCAGTCTCCTTTAATTTGTGGATCTTATTAATTACATTAATAGATTGCCTAATTCAACTGTATTTGCATTCCTCAAATAAACTCTGCTTGATCAGAGTAAATTAGATTTTTACTAGTTATGCTGGAATCAATTTGCTAATATTTTATTACATTCATAATTAAAAGTGGTCTATAATTTTTCCTTGTATTCTGTCATCACATTTTTAACAACAGTGTATAGAATAAATTGGGATGTTCTATTTAAATCTGGGACAGTTTGAGTAACAATTTTTTTTAAGTTTAGACAGAACTCAGAAATTTTCTGTTATTTTCCCCTGTGCTTACTGGTCTGTTCAGATTTCCTACCACTCCTAAACAAGACATTTCTGTCTTGCTAAAAATGTGTTCATTTTGTTTAGATTTTTAGATTGACAAGGTTACTATAGTTTTGTCTTATAGTTATTTCAAGGACTTATTTAAGATCTCATTTTTTATATTTAATAATATACATTTTTGCCTTTGCTCTTTAAAATATTTAGAATGGGCCTCCCTGGTGGTGCAAGGGGTTAAGTCTCAGCACTATGAAGCTATTGGCAGCCACTGAAGCACGAGTTCGATCCCTGGCCAGGGAGCTACCTACACGGCACAGCAGACCTCTCCAGTCTCGCCCACTGCCCCCCTCAGCAGTGTATTTCAGTCACTCTGCCTGTTTTGTTCCCCACTCTGTCTCTGGTGAATCCTCTCACCACCCATATCCTCTGGTCTGCACCCCAGCTCTTGTATGCATACGTAAATAAATCTTTAAAAAAGCAAAATATTTAGACTGCTGAAGGAGGTGGATTAGTTTACAGATCTATTGATTTGGGTATCATTTCTCCATTCTTTTTCTTTTTTAGGGGTGAGTGCAAATGCAGTCCCCCACTACCACAAATTATAAAGTCGAGTTTCCCATGTTTGAGGAAATCATAGGTATTAGCACATAGGAAGTGCAAGGGATAAGCCTTGGTCTGGAAAATTCCCCTTATTGATCATGGTGTCTCCCCTGCCAGTTAAGTATCCATTCTCCTTTGTGTGTCTGTTTTTTGGGATGTGTGGGATGGGAGAGGTTGTGTGGCAGAGATAGTTTCTGTTTCTTCAATTTTAATGTCTAACTTTATTAATGCTCCCTGGATTAGATTAAAGAAGATGTAACTGGTTGTCAGAGCTCAGGTGACTGATTCAAATCTACACCAAGTTGAGGGTGGAGGTAGACATTGTGCCCTTAGTTTCTCTACCCCATTCCCTTCCAAGAGCACAAAGCCTCACTCTCTGCCTTGTTCCTTGGGGTCACCCCATGAAGAAGCCCCTCAAGCCTCCAGCAGATGGCCATCTTTCTCTGGCTTATCCCTTAACTTTATCTTTCCATAAGTGTTCCCCCTTTTACCGTTTTTCCCCCCATGTCCCTACTTACACTTTTCTGGGAACATGCCCTATGGTCCTTCCAGAAATGATTATGTCCCATATCTCTGCTGTCTTTAGTGTTTGCTGAATATCAAGGACTTTCATCCCCTCCCTAATTTCTGCTGAATCTGCAGAGGGGAGGGGTGAGCTCAGATTACTTATTTTTTTTTTTCACTTGCTAGTTGAAGAAGTCAAAAGTTATATAAAGAAAAAATGTAAAACTCCTTATCCACTCCAACCAAATAAGCAGTGTTAACAGTTTCACACCTTTCTCTACATTCTTGCAAATGCATATATTGGGTTGTCGGAAAAGTCATAGTGTATTTTTCCTGTATTTTTCAAGCAAAGATGTGTCCCGACTTTTCTGACAACCCAATATATGCATGTGTTTGCTTCTTCCATAGCATATAAAACATTTAAATAAGATAATACTCTGTGGATAACTCTGAATCTTGCCTCTCTCTCTCTCTCTCTGAACAATGTATCAACTCCTTGTGTTTTGATTTTGTGTGTGGCTGTGCTGAATGAACTCTGATATTTGGGGAGGAAGCTTTCCATTGGAGACTGGGTTCTACATAGATGATTTTCCTTCTCAGTTTCCCCTTCTCCCAACTTAGTTTTTTTATAAGAGAGATTCATGCTTCTTCTATTAACATAACATTTTTTTGTGCTCCAATAACTGTGGCCTCATAGGGCCTGACGGGCCTGAAGTGAGGGTCACCTGACCTCTTCTTTCCAGCTACCTAATGGGCAGATGATTATTAGAATATATCACCTTGACAGCTGCTTCCCCCCATTCCTGGCTGCTCCGAGGCTGGACTTTATATGTTGGCAGTCATCCTTGTTGTTCCTCACCACATACTGTGTGCCCTTCCAACACTCAGCTATCTTAGACAGACTCTGGATGCCCAGTTTCCGCAACTGGATCTAATCTCCGGTCCTTGGCGCCTGGCACTGTACCTATATATCAAGTGCTTTATTTGTCTTGCTAGGTTATTCTGGGCCACCTTAGCCTTCGGCTCAGTTGCATATCTGTTAAGCCTGTTTCCATCTTCAACCTGCCCCCTACCCCTAAGCTGAACTCAGTGGACAGCTGGGGCTCCTGTGCAAATATCAGTAAAGGGGGAATAAACGTGGCAGAGTCCTTCCTGGTGTCATTTATGGGCATGGCCATGAAAACCACATATTGACTTCATTGCCCCTTCTGCTCAGGACACAACACTGCCATATAAAGTTATAAAATTGTGAGGTACACTTTCCAAGGGTGCTGATCATAGTCTAATGCTTTTGGACTACTTCCCACCCCCACTCCAAGTGCAGGTACAGAGTCATCCCCTCCACGCTATTAATTGCCCCAATGTTCCCTTGGGTCTTAAAGTGACTCCAGTAGGTCCAGCCCTCATGGAGGTATTTTGCTGTGTTGAACTGGATATTTGTGCTACGTGCTCTTGAATAACTTTCCCATTTGGGGGATGTGGCATTCAAGCTTCTCTGCCTTCTGCATCTGACCCCTGCCTAGCTCTATCTTTATATCTATCCCTCTCTCTCCTTCCACATCAATCCTTGATGGCAAGGAGAGGAAATTTTTCTGATGAGCTGATTGACTTATTAAAATAAGAGTCCAAATCACAGGAAAGCTGGAGGTTTCCCACCTTCACCCTCTTGAATGAGGGAAGTGGTTGTGTTCATGCTGACCCTCTTAGAGTGTTTTGATTGTCACAAAGATTGATGGACATTATTAACATTAAGTGGAGAGGGACTGAGGATACTCAACTTCAATAATTCTTAGAATGTTCCCATACAGGGCCTCCCTGGTGTTGCAGGGCTTAAAGGCACAGTGTTAACAAGCTATCACCAGCCACTGCAACATGAGTTTGATTCCCAGCCTGGGAGCTCGCCCACAGGGCACAGCAGACCTCCTGACTCTCCTGCTGCCCGCTTCTGCAGTGTATTTCAGTAGATCCGCCTGTTCTGCTCCCTACTCTGTCTCTGGTGAATCCTCTCACCCTCCCTGACACACATACACCTCTGGCCTGCATCCCAGTTCTTGTATGCATGAATAAATAAATCTTAAAAAAAAAGAATATTCCCATACAACAAAGAACTGCCTCATTAGGATCATTCCAGTGTTCTGCTGGATGGTTAGGTGGGTGCTGATTATAATGATCTCAGTGCAGAACCTATGTTTTTTTAAAAAGATTTATTTATCTATGCATACAAGAGCTGGGGTACAGGCCAAAGGTGTGGGGAATGAGAGGATTCACCAGAGACAGAGTGAGGAACAGAACAGGCAGATTGACAGAAGTACACTGCTGCGGGGAGTAGCGGGCAGTCAGGAGAGGTCTGCTGCGCCATGTGGGTTGCTCCCTGGCTGGCCTGGGATCGAACTTGTGCTGCAGAGGCTGTGGACAGATTCACAGGTTGCGTCTTAACCCTGTATGCCACCAGGGAGGCCCCCAGAACCTATGTTAAATACAAATACAAAGGAGTCTTTAAAAGGTTTCAATGAATATTGAATTTTCTATGAATATAACTACCACATTAATAGATTGTTTTCTTTGGAATTTTATCAAGAATTATTCACCATTTTGGAAAACCACAACAGAGCTCATGATATTTGAGTTGACACAACCACAAATTATTATCAGATTCCTTTGATTTGCATTTCCCTGATGGTAAGTAATAGTGAGCATTTTTTCCTGTGCTATTGTCTATTTGTGTGTCTTCTTTGGAGACGTGTCTATTTAGTTCTTCTGTCCGTTATTTGATTGGGTTAATTGTTTTCTTTTTGTGGAGTTACATGAGTTCCTTATATATTGGCTATCAGCCCCTTTTCAGATGTATGATGTGCAAGTATTTTCTCCCATTCAGTAGGATGTCTTAGTTTTACTGATAGTTTCTTTCACTGTATAGAGATTTTTAGTTTGAGGTAGCCCCACTTGTTTATATTTACTTTGTTTTTTTCTTGCTGTTGGAGACAAATCCACAAAGACATAGCTGAAGCTATGAGTATTTCTATTTTTGACTGCTGGTATACATTGCAAAAGACCAAGGAGTGGACTTGCTGGATTGTAGTGTGTACAAATACAAGATAATGCCAAATTGCTTCCCAAAGTGGTTGTACCCAGTGAAGTGACATTTGAAATGTTTAAGAGTTTATATTGATCCACATCCTTTTAAACATTTGGTCCTACCTTTGTCATGGGCATGAAATATTGTTTCATTATGGTCTTGATTTGTTCCTCTCTGATTACTAATGAAGTTTAACATCTTTTCACAGGCTTTTTGGACATTTGTACTTCTTCTGTCAATTGTCCATAGTCTTTTTATTTTGGCTTCCTTTTTAATTTGTAGCAATACTTTTAGCTACTGGTTAGGAATATATACATACATATATACACATATGTAACATGTGTGTATACATAGATATACACATAAATTTTGCAAATATCTCCTTCTGGTTTATAGCTTGTATTTTATCTTTATGGTCTTTTTTGATTGATAGACATTCTCAGTGCAGTGTAATTTGCCAGTATTTTGAAAAATGGTTAGTATTTTGTGTTTCAACCAAGAAATCCACTACTACCTTAAAGCCAGATATTTTCAGTTTCCTTCTAAAGGTTTAGTTTTTCACATGTAAGTATTCAAATTCATCTGGACTTTATCTTGTGTGTGTTATACAACAGGTTTGTTTGCTTTTTGTTGTATGGGTAACCACTAGTCCAAGACCAGTTATTAGTCACTCCTTGTTCAATGATCTGTGCAGTGCCATCTCTCTCAGAGATTACAGTTACATATTTGTGTGGATTTATTTCTGAGCACCATTTAGTTCCATTGGTCAATTAGGCAAAGCTGAGTGTTATTATGATTGAATTATGCTTTGTTATGCCTTTGATTCAGAACCATTCTCCTGTATTTCCCCAATACCATGGAATGATTCCCCAAGAAGCATTCAACTTGCCATCAGTTGCTCATTTGGCTCACGCTGGTAACCCAAAAAAACCCAAAACAAAGCAAAATTGAAAAGAACTAAACTGAGGCATGTTCATTTAGGTGTGAGCCTACAACTACTCAAAGGGTGGAGATTGGGGTTTCTTCCTATCAGTCCTCAGGTCTTCAGTTCAGATTGAGATAATAGCCACAGCCCCCAACTATCTCCATGTCTATCTGACAGTGAAAATTCAGCTTGTACATGAGGTTTGAAGTTACCTAGTAATTTGTGATTCGAAATGTCTACCAAAACCTTTTTCCTTCCTTTCCATTGTCCTGCCCTCCCTTCCTTGCCCTCTGACTGTCTCTTTGCTCTGACACAGTCTCTGCCCTTAGGGACTTTAAGGAACAATGGGTGACACAGGTTCTGTCCTCTTTCTTCCCTCTATTGTCCATGCCCTCACAGTGAGGGTTCTGTAGAATACTAACCCATCAAATTCACGCTAAGAGAGAGGTGAATGCTTGTGAGTGCACATGTTTGCTTGTTTTATAGGCACTTCTTCTGAAGGATGCGAGACTCAAAAACAGTTTGACTTGCTGTCTCAAATTAAATGGACAGGGCCTCCCCTGGTAGCTCAACAGATGAGCGCTGGGCTGTGAAGCTGCCCGCAGCCTCTGCAGTGCCGG